CCCGGGATCAACCCAACTCGGGCATATGCCCTGACCAGGAATGGAGTTGATCACCTCTCAGTGAATGGCATGACACTCAACTAACTGAGCCACACTGGCCAGGGCGCCTTTTTTCTTCTTAATGGCCCTAAAGCTAAGAATAGTCTTACATTTTAAAATCGTTGAAAAAAAGAAAAAGAACTCTTTGTCACATGTGAAAAATATTTGAAATTAAAGGTTATATCTATCAGTATATGAAGTTTTATTACAACAGCCACATGCATTTATTTTCATATTGTCTATGGTTTTATTCGAATTTTAAGAGCAGACTTGAAAAGTTGCAGCAGAGACCATATGTGGAACTCTCATCCCTTCATACTACTGCTCAGTAAGTCATGATGCACTCGGAAAGCATTTCAAGTGCCAAGCATAGTTTTGTACCATGATATTTTATGACATTTTGTTTTATTTTGCTTTGTTTTATTTTATTTTACCAGTGCATATCTTTTATGTCGAAACAAGAAAAGTGGACTTCAAATTTTGCTACAACTGTGCTAAGCGCAATATGTGTCAACATTACCAGATTAAGCACTAATCACAATATTCCAAACTCATAGGAAAGTGACAGTTAAAAAAATTAGGACAGCTAGAATTTCTTCACAAGAATTAAAAACGTAAATGAAGCTGCAACCAAAGCAAGTCTCCAAGTGGCTTATTAGCAAGCAAAGAAAGTGGTTTACCAATATTAAGTTAATAAGATTGTATTTGTTTGCAAAAGTTGAAGAAATGTGTCCAGAGAAAATAAACCTGTTTAAAACAATCAAACTATGGTAAGAACAGTTGGTCCAAGAGTTGGGGACCTTGGTTGCAACATCAACAATTGTTACAAAAAGAAGGCTGATGGTTCTGAGTATTTTTCCTTGTACCTTAATGAGTTGACAGATGCTACCGACACTGCTCAGTTGTTTACTTGAGGTAGCAATGCCAGGTTTGAAGTGACTGAAGAATTGGGTTCCATAGTCTGTGTAGAACAAGTACAAGTGAGAATATTTTCAAAGAAGTTGAGAAAATCTCTAATACAGAACAACCTGAAGTGGAATCTGCTAAGATGTGTTACAACTCCTAGTGGTAAAAGTTTGTGTGGAACAGAAAAGGTTTAATTGGACAAATTTACAAAGCTTATGAAAAAGTAAAAGGTTAAAGCCTGCAGTTATTCATTGTGTGATTTATCAGCAGATACTTTGCAGAAAATACAGTCATGTGCTACTTAGCAACAGGGAGATGTCCTGAGAAATGCATCACTGGGCAATTTTGTCGTTGTATGAACATCACAGAGTGCACTCACACAAACCTGGATGGCATAGCCTACTACACGCCCAGGCTGTATGGGACAACCTATTGCTCCTAGGCTACAGCATGTTACTGTGCTGAATACTGTAGGCAATGTGGTAAGTATTTGTGTATCTAAACATGTCTAAACATAAAAATGGTACAGAAAAAAATAGAATGTAAAAGATAAAAAATGGTGCTCGCTTCGGCAGCAACATATACTAAAAAATGGAAAGATACAGAGAAGATTAGCATGGCCCCTGTGCAAGGATGACACACAAATTTGTGAAGCGTTCCATTTTTTTCCTCTAGTTTAAATTTTACCTTCTAAAGTTCAGATCAAGTTTCATCTCTTTTATAAGGCTTCCCAAATCTTTACCACTCAATAATCAATCTTTTTCCTTTAGTTTTTCAAATGCTTGTCTATCCACACATTTTAACTTTATCTATGCCACCATATTTGCACTAAAGTTTATTAAATTTAATTCAATCCAATAGTAGGGAAAGCATATTAATTATAGCCTGGCCGGCATGGCTCAGTGGTTGAGTGTTGACCTATGAACCGGGAGGTCACAGTTCGATTCCCGGTCAGAGCATATGCCCACGTTTCAGGCTTGATCCCCAGGGTAGGGCATGAAGAAGGCAGCTGATCAAGGATTCGCTCTCATCACTGATGTTTCTATCTCTCTCTCCCTCTCCCTTCCTCTCTGAAATCAATAAAAAAAGAAAAGATAAAAAATGATACATCTCTATAGGGCACTGACCATAAATGGAGCTTGCAGACTGGAAGTTGCTCTGGGTGAGTGAGTGGTGAGTGAAAGTGGAGGCCTAGGGCATTACTGTATGCTATGGTAGATTTTATAAACGTACACTTACTGAATTATATAACAACACAAAATTGAATCAAGCACAAGAGAAAATGATGCAATTGAGAGACATGGTAAACATGATATGTATGAGGCTGCTGCCAACATAACCTGGCATACTGTTTTACAGCAAGCTTATTTTATGATTAGGAAGAGTACACTCTAAAATAACAATAAAAGTACGGTAAATACAAAAATCAGAAACATAGTCATTTATTATCATTATCAAGTATTATGTACTGTACATAATTGTATGTGCTATACTCTTTTTTTAAATTATATTTTTCTTGATTTCAGAGAGGAAGAGAGATAGAAACATCAATGATGAAAGAGAATCATTGATTGGCTGCCTCCTGCACACCCCCCCCACTGGGGATCGAGCCTGCAACCGGGCATGTGCCCTTGACTAGAATTGAACCTGGGTCTCTTCAGTCCGCAGGCCAATGCTCTATCCACTGAGCCAAACCAGCTAGGGCTGTGTTATACTCTTGTATGACTGGCAGAGCAGTAGGTTTTCTTAAACCAGCTTCACCACAAACACATAAGGAATGCATTGTCCTATGACATTCCGAAGGCTATGGTGTCACGAGGCAATAGAAACTTTTCAGCTCCATTATAATTTTATGCGACCACCACTGTGTATGTGGTCCATAGTTGACCAAAACATCATTATGTGATGCAAGATTGTATTTGAGTCTGTCATGTATTATTAAACCAATAACAAAAATTAACTGTATTCACTTTTGTGAATTTGAGAGTCTTCACTTCTATGAACTTTCTGTCAGCAATAGAAGCTGAATATCCTGACTTGCCCTACCAAACAGCAGTTTGATGGTTTAGTAATGGTAAAGTTTAATTGAGATTTTTCTTTTAGCCCAAGGCTGAAATTGAAATTTTTCTGAACAAGAAGAACTACCCTCAAACTATTATTATTTAACATGAATGACTTGGGAATTTTTTTTGCTAATTGTATGTGTGATCTGGTATGAAGAATTCTTATCTTTTAGAGACATATACTGATATATTTATAGATGAAAGGGTATGATCTTTGGGATTTGCTTCAAATTAATGAGGTGGAGGCCCTGGCCAGTGTGGCTCAGTTGGTTGCATGTCATCCCATGCACAGAGAGGTCTCCAGTTCCATTCCTGTGCAGGCTCAATCCCCAATAGGGGGCGTGCAGGAGGCAGCCAATCGATCTTTCTCTCTCATCAATGTTTCTATCTGTCTATCCCTCTCCCTTCCTCTCTCTCTAAAAAAATCCTTTAAAAACATATTTTTAAAAATAGCTTTAAGAAAATAAAGTATTAAGCTTTAATTTAAACACTAATGATTAATTGGCATTATTTACACACACAAAATGGATATAGCGTAGGAATATACAGCCATGACAAGTACTTGGAAGGCTCTCACAAGGTATAGGCTAAGACTTGTTCTGTGTAGTCCCAGCATACAGAATTGAGTCCTACGGGTGGAAGATATAGGAAGGCATATTTTGGCATAAAAAAAGGCTTCTCTGAACACAACATTTTTCTAAATATTAGTTGGGAGAAGTGAATTCCTGGTCACTGGAAGTGGTTGGGCCAGTCTGATGTTGAAGATCTGGACGACCTTCAGTGCCTCAAGGCACCACCAAACAGACTGTCTGGTTGAGGCTGAACCGGTTAAGTCAGCCCTACCATTTCCACTGCAGCCAGAAGCACAGCACTGTTGGTTAGCCTTGGGGCCACCTCAGCTCCTGACCCTGGCTCACTTCCCACACAGAGGACATGGCTTCAGGGAGACAAACCTGTTTATCAGAATTTATGCCTGTGAGTGCTGCTTTGCATCTGTTAGATTCCCTAAGGACGATATTGCAAGGCTGATAATTATGGTGAAGCAACTGTTTGAACTACTTGTTTGGGTACTTGGCTTCCAGTCTGGAGGTAGAACTCAATTATTAAGTTACAGAACATTAGAATACAACAATGACAGCAGTATTTTCTGCTTTACAATATTACCTTTTTGTTTCGAAATAAACAAAGTTGGAAGACAGATGCTGCACCCATAAAGTGCTGAAATCAGAGAAGAAAGGAGTCAAGAGATTATTTCCCTGAAATCATTCTTTTCCTCTAAAAGCTTAATCAGAAATGAAGGAAATGGGCTCAGGAGTTCTAGTGCCTTTAGGACTAGGTCCAGATTATTGCCAGGAGCTGGAGTGTGGACCAAAGGGACAGACTCTTCTGGGCCGGCGTGATCTGAGAGGCAGGTGGAGAGTGTGGATCTTTGGATCTACCTGAGGGGCAGGCCAGAGGGACTACTTTGGTGGATATGAAAATGCGAATACTTTGGAAAGAGTGGTTTCTAACTTCACTGTTTTCCTAACCTAGTTCTGTGTTTTGTTGTTGTTGTTGTTAATACTCACCCAAGGACATTTTTCCCCCATTGATTTTTAGAGAGAGTGTAAGAGAGAGAGGTAGAGACAAACACACACACAGAGAGAGAGAGAGAGAGAGAGAGAGAGAGAGAGAGAGAGATTGGTTGCCTCCCACATGCATCCAGCCAGGACCAGGGATCGAACCTGCAACTGAGGTATGTAACCTCGACCAGAGTCGAACCTGAGACCCTCTAACCAATGAGCAAAACAGGGTAGGGCTCTGTGTCTGGACTTTTAAGAAAATACTTGGTCCTTGATTTATTTTGAAGAATATGTATGAGTGAGGCCTGTGTTGCTTTATTAGAATCATTAAAACCAAGAAAAGAGGTTGGTAAGAGAAAGAATGAGCTGGGGCTTGTGGATATTTTTTTATTTTCGGAAGCCTGCCCCCTCTTATGACTCCACAGCCTTTGCCTTGGTGGAAGAGTGACAACAATGTGTCTTGCTTGTGCCAACAGAAGGCCAAAGCCCCAAATCCAGAGACAGGCTGAGGAAGATACGTAAGTGAAGTCATGGTGTGGCGACCTCGACCAACAACTTCACAATGGATAAGATTGTATTTGGACGTGGTAGTGCAATGTGCAGAGAGCCAACATGCAGAAGGCAACAGGGCTGCTCAAAAAGTGGAGCCTCACAACCTGCTCTTTCTAGTGATGTCCAGAGACTGGCGTTTGCAATGTTAGCAAGACAATAAAAAAAGAAAAGGAAAAAAATTAATAAGGGATCTGCCAGGCTTCTCCACTGTAAAGTCACTCTTTGCCCCTTAGTAATTGTCCTAGTCAGCTCAGGCTGCTGTAACAAGTTACCTGGACTGGGGTGGCTTACACAGCAAACATTTATTTCTCAGTCTGGAGGCTGTGAGAACCCACTTCTGGGTTTGCAGATGGTCATCTCATTGTGTCCTGATGTGGTGGAGAGGGGAGGGAGGGAGAGAGAGAGAGAGAGAGAGAGAGAGAGAGATCTCCCACGTCTCCTCATAAGAGCACTAATCTCATTGATGAGGGTGTCCCTCTCATGACCCAATTACTTCCCAAAGGTCCTATCTCCTAATACCATCACATTGGGTGTTGGGATTTGAACATACAAAATTGAGGGGGGACATAAACATT